TACCTTCTGCTTCTCGAATGGCCGTTAGGGAGGTAGGAGATGAGCTTTGTTGCTGGCTTGTCAGAGCAGCGATGGGTTTCCCGTTCCTGTTAAGTGGGTCCGACTGCTGTACCTTCGAAGTTGAGGTGCAAGAGTAGTCCTCCGGCCGCGGCGGAGTTAGTTAGCCCGTCTCGCACTCGACCATCACCTTTTGATAGAAAATTAAAATTGAACCTTCTTCCTCCTTACCTCTGATAGACACCTTCAGAGTTGTAGGCTTTGGAAGGTATTAAAAAGAATTGGGGAGAAATTACAAAGGAAATCTCACGGGAGTTACTGCATTTCATTATACAAATAACGCATATGTGCGTTTGGGAGTGCTGTGGTCATGGTTGTACTTAAATTGTAATTTAAAATTATTTTGGTGTTTGATTATTTATTTTTTTAAAAGTATTATAAATAAAATATAATAAATTTTATTAATTATTAATTAAAATAAAATATTATATAATATATAATTATTAAAAAATAAAATATTTTTTAATAATTTAAATTTTTTAACTTTGTTATTATTATTAACTTATTATAAATTATAATGTAATTAAATTATATAAAATTAAATTTTAATTAGTAATTTTATAATTATATTAAATATTAAATGTTATTTATAAAAGTTACAATTAGAAAACTTCAAAATAAGACTTCTGATTTTATATATAAACTTACTTGTAGAGTTATTATGCCTTTTTAAACTTTAAAAAAAAGTAATTTAAAAAAAATGACTGAACAGATGTATACCTATAAGTACTGTACAGTTACACAAAAAAACTCCTAACTGCAATTACAAATGCAACCATAATCTTATCGTTTAAGCTAATTCCCAAGAGGTAAGAAGCTGTAAATGACTGTCTTTGCTACTCCAATCAAGGACATTGATCTCAATAATGCAGAATCTAAAAGAAAACGCAAATGGGTATTTGATTATCCATCATTTCTCCAGCTTGGAAATGATAGCAGCAGTCCCTTACAGAATGATAAACAAAACATTCCATAATACAAACAATGGTTTTGGCAGCAAGCTGTGAATAAGAGTTATGCATTAGGTAGTCTGAGTAAAACTTGCAATAAGGAAAATTTTGAAAAAACACTACAAATCTTCCCTTGTACCAATACAAGTTAACAAAACGTCTTACTGATGTGAGACTTCCCAGTTTAGTCTGCTTGCACAACTGCACTAGTGGATCCTATAAATAACCAATGCAAGTAATATTTGCTAGTCACTGCAAATCCGCTATGCCCTCATGGTGTAGATACAAGAACAGCAAATTATGTGTTTCAAGTCAAGATAACTGGACAAGATGAAATTCCCTTTCAGCTGAGTCAGATGATTCCGCCAACTTGAGTAGGGATCTTGGAACACCATGTCGACTGCCATCAAAAGGGAAATAACTCTTATCAGATTGTTATGCTGCAAGCTATTTTAGTTTAGCACCAGTTTCTTCCTTAAAGAGTAGGTCTAGTTCCAAAATATGTAGTTTCCCTTGGAAGATGCTCAACAATTGAGGAGCATGTTCCTGATACCTGAACACAAATCTATCTAAGAAGCACTTCTCTGAGGATATCACCACAGAAGAAACAGCAATTTCTTTCTTCATCAAACCCTTCAACCGCAAAACTCTTAAAACTGAACACCTCGGGATGATCCTCTCCTTTAAACTGAAATTAAATACCGATGGAACCCTAGCGACAGCAACAGGATGCCAACCCATCTTGTTCACCAGAAAATCCAGCACACCTGTAACTTTCTTTATCGATGAAGCCATAAATTTAGGATCTTTCCTGAAAGCTAACCACAATTCATCTTCAGACAAACCCCAACTTTTGTAAGCATCTCTTTTGAGTTGCCAAGCTTTTTTGGATGGCCAACATTTAATAGCTTCAAGAAATGCATACTTTGAAGGGTTGAATCCCATACTAAGAACATTTTCCACCTTCTTCTTGAATTTATTGGTATCTAAGCACAAAGACTCAGATAACCCTACCAACATATACCGGATAAGCGAATCTGGAACTCCAACTCCTCTCAAGACTGAGATATTGGGACTAAGATCCTTTTGCAGATTCTGCAACAAAACCCATGAACGTTTTATCAAAGACTTAGCAACTATTTTATCATGGACAAGATGAGTCTTGAGGAAATCATAACAAGGGATAATCTGTTTGTTTAAGCTACGTCCCAAGACGGATGGGTTCCTGGAGATGAGAGTTGCAAGGTCTGCACCTGAAATCCCAATGGAATTAAAAAATTCAAACTTGGGCAAAACAGTTTTCTTGGCATCAAACAATAACACTCTCGGAAATGACCTGACAACTCTGGAGATGTGAGCATTTGTGAATCCATGGTTTCGGAGAAAACTGAGGACTAAATCTGGGTTTGCGGAATCTCGGAAATGAACGTACTTTGAGGCAGATTTAGCAGATGCAGGGGATAACCCACACGAATTAATGAGGTAAGACTCTGTAAATGAGCATTTACCCAGCTTCTCTGCGACTTCGATGGATGAGAAACGTCTGGTTTGAAAAACTGGTGCAAAATCTAAAAGAAAACGAAAATGGGTATTCAAAGACCCAAGATTTCTCCCAATTGGAGAAGGCAGCGGCAATCCTTTGCAGAATAAAAAAGCAAGCATTTTAGGCGAGGAATAGTAATTTTTAGCAGCAGGTAAGGAGGAATTCAACTCACAGGTGTATTTCGGTTTCGGAGTTCAAATCAAACTGAAGTAAGGAGGAATGCAATTGGATTGGCGGTGCATCAGTATTTTTACCTGGAAGTAATCCAGAATTGGGTTAGGGTTTTTGATTTTTTTGGCCGGTGCTGCGTATTGGAAGGCAGAACTCCTTTAAGATGGAAAGATTTTGGAAACGCTGTCGTCAGGCTCAGGTGAAAATTAAAAATGTTTTTAAGTAAAATTTTGAAGAAAGCGGCAAATTCAGTACTTAAATACGTTAGAAAATACAATATTCTTAGGCTAATTGGCTCAACTATTGATTTTCTTTAATTTAAGATTAGTGTAGCTCTATAAACAAAAATAGATTGTTGTAAGGTGAATGATTTCCTTCGGTTCAAACTGCACAATGAAAATACAATTTAAGTTATGAAAGTCCTTCTTAATTTTGCCCATCAATAAAGAGTATTTAAATAATTTTATAAATTCTCACAAAAAAAAACACTTTTGTAGTATGTAAATTAATTTTTATTGACAGCAAAGTCTTTCAATAATATGTATTAAAAATGCTCAACTAATAATGTTAGATTACTTTTCTACCCAATATCACAATATAAGATATGTTTGGTTTAAAAGAAAAAGAATAATTAAATTAAAAAAGAAAAAACCCAAAAACCAACATCCCACATTAGTTGGAAACTAAAGAACTGGGTTCTTTAAATCTTCCAACCACTTTTGGCACATTGCATGCCGGGTTTAGTAACGCAGGCCTGTGACCCAAGTGGGGGCAATAAGGTGATGTGGAAAGTGTTTGATGGTCTCCTGGCCTTCACATGGGTTCAGAGGGACCGAGCAAACCTGGCCTTTGGTGTTACACCTTTGGTCAGGGGCGCGAATACGGATCACGCTGCATGATAAGGAGAGGCGTGAAGATTGTTGCTGGCTTGTCAGAGCAGCAACGGGTGCCCTGTCCCCGGTCGAGTCAGCCAGCTCATCTCACACTCAACCATCACCTTTTTGTGTTGAAGCAACGGCTGTAGGATGCCAAATATCTTGTTTACCAGAAAATCCATCACTCTTGTAAATTTCTTCATATTCAGATCATCTTCTTACATAAAAAACCAGTATGTATAGCAATACAACTACAAAGCAAAACAGCAATCTATTTCCTGCTTGTTTTGATTCTTTGAGCGTGTAATTTACCGACTAGAATGCTGCAATTGCTGCACGACTCAACATGCTCCAGAGAAAATTCCAAGAGATCCAGATTTATGCAACTGAGGAAGGTTTCTTGGAAAGAAGTTGTTCAAGAGATTTAGGGTCGCTTATTGAAGGGCTGCAAGTGAAATTTTGGCATACGAGGGCAACCACCTTGTCAGGAGCAAAATTGTTCCTTGCCATGAGGGCAATGTTGCTGTTGTTTTCTTCCCAGAATTCCATTTCAGCTGTATCTGTTGGATCAATGTGAATTACCTGTGACAAGAAACAAATGTCGAATCAGCTGAAGAGAAAGCTTATCTGGAGAAACAGTGATATCCAAGTCTGGTAACTTACTGTTTTGTTGGGATCATAAGTAGGATGAGCAGCAGCAAGCATGTTCTCAAACTCTGCAGAGGGCTTATGGCCAACCAAGATGACTTGCTTTCTGGAAGGGACAGAAAGCATGTCTGCTGCACAACACATCAGGGGCACTGCCATAGCCATATCATTCAGTCTTTTCTCAAAGACAGCCTGCAAACCCACAGACAACCAGTAAGAAAACCCAGGAAGCATGTTTGAATCAAGGAAAAACAGTTACAATGAAGCTAACAACAAACCAGAAGATGTTCTGCATTCTGCCTGTAGTGATCAGATTTACTTCCAGCAACCATTGAAGACAATCTAATGAGATTAATGGCAGCGACTGAGTTCCCCGATGGCTCTGCTCCATCATGATCTTCCTTTACACGGAGGAGAACTGAAGGGTCTTCTCCTGGAGTGTTAAAATAGGCTCCTCCCTCTCTATCAAGGAACAATTCGTCCTGCACCAGAACTCAAAAAGTAAGGAAGCTAGCTTACAAGGAAAAAACTTAAACAATGTTTATGTGGAAGTTTAGATAATTAACTCTTACCTGCATATCTTGGAGTTCAGTCGCCCAGATTAACCAAGAGATTCCACCACCAAACTCAAAAAGATCCAGCAGTCCTGAAATTAAGAAAGCATAATCATCTAAAAATCCAGGTGCTTTGGATGGGCCATTCCTAAAGCTGTGCTGTAGCCTGTGTGTTTGCTCATTGTAAAGATGCTTTCTGATAAAAGACGCTGCCTTCTCTGCAACTTCCATGTACTCCTTGGGCTGTGATTTATAGGATAAGAAAATGATAAACCATAAAAGAATATCAGTGTCTAGGCTACATAAAAAACAGTTGCTTCCAATCAAAGTGACTAGATAAGAAAGTACAATCTTACATCACAGCCAACAACTGGAAAGTTGAATCTAGCAACCTCCTCTTCACCCTTGAGAACTTTAGAAGCTTTGGCAAAAGCTGAGATTGCAAGTCCATTCCATGATACGATAACCTATCAAGCTTTTGATGTTAGCCTGCAGGAACTCTTTGAAGAAATAATAACAGGCAAGTGACTTATTCATCATGCATCAGATGATACCTTATCATCCAAATGTGGCCTTGGTCGTCTACACCTTACATCAAAAAGCTTCCTTCTGCATTCACCTAGAATCTCAAGATATTTCTCAATTGGCATGCTCAGTTTTGATGCCATTGCTGAAGAATCATTTCTTTCAATGAGCACATTTTTTCCCTTAAACTCATTGTGTGGATCACTCATTCTAGAGAGATCACAATTTCCTGTGGGCTTTATGTAATAGTGCTCCTTGAAAAGACCTGCATGCTCCCCTAGAATTTCTTCAACCTAAACAGTTAAAAATGAAGAAGTTAAAAAATAAAAGAAAGACGATACTGAATGTGCATTTTTATGACAACTCAAACACAATAAATCCTGATTTTAATAATAAGATAAAAAAAAAAAAAGAAAAAGAAAAGAGAAGAAAAAGAAACCTCTTTGCTGGTCCATATGTAGAAAGCACCCTCTTTCTTCGGCATGGCTCCTTTAAACTCAGCACTATCAGCATCTTCCGCTGAAAATATTTCACCTTGTGATCCAATCATATCCCTCCTCAAATAATCAAGGATATCACGAGGGATGGATGAGTAGAATACATCTCTAGTGATGGAAAAAGCATCCAAATAAGCATTGGCAAGTTGACCTTGATCATACAGCATTTTCTCAAAATGTGGAACTGCAAGAAAAAGATCACAGCTATCATGACCTCCATCATGAGACAAATTAAAAATGATATTAATTTTTTTTGGCCTCCGAATGATATTAATTGAAATCCTGAAATTTGCTACAAAGGACAAGCATTTTCTTCAAATTGAATTCCGAACAAAAAAAAAAAAAGAGAGAAAAAGGGAGAAAGACTGACCATGCCAGTGCTCATCCACACTATATCTATGAAAACCGCCTCCAACATGGTCATGAATACCACCTTTTGCCATGCATTCCAGGGTAAAGAAAACCTTTTTCAGAGCTTCGTTTGCTTCCCCAGATTTTCCAGTTTCCTCCAACTTCTTGGAGTGATAGAGCATAAGTTGAATCTCAACTGGTCTAGGAAACTTAGGGGCAGATCCAAAACCTCCATATTGTGAGTCATAGCTTTGAGAAAGCTATAAAAGAAATATGATAAGGAATTATTGATGAGCAAAACATCTTTCTATTTGATACAGCAATAACAATCAGAAAAAGAATAGCAAACAACATAAAATCAGAGGATTGAATTTCCTTACAACAAGGGAAGTAAAACTGAGAAATTTGGCAGCAATGGAGTTTTTCTTTAAAGATTGGATAAAATATTGTTCTTATCAATACTTTTCTATCATTTTATATATCATTTAAAAATGTTATATCATTTTCCTTTTTCCCTTCTCAAGTGGATAAGCAGCAGTATCAGCACATCTTTGGGTTTAGCTTTTGTCAGACAAGCAGGAGATCTCACACAATCATGGGTCTATTGGATATCAGACTATTCAACCATACCATAGTTAAATATTCACTGGAATGAAGCATTCAAATCCTCAATGCAGTGGAACTTACTTGCTCTGCACATAGGCATAATGCTCTTTGTGCAAGCCCATCTGACAATTTGTTTGACCCTGCACTCGCTGCCAATGCTTCAGATAGCTGTTCAATAGCAAAGGCTCCACTCTTAACAAGCATGTCTCTTTTATTGTCCCAAGCATCTTTCACCTTTCTGAAGAAGCAACAAAAAAATAAATAAGCAATGCTGGCAAAGAACAATTACATTGAAGTAAAAAATAATGCAAGATCAAAGTTGAAATTCAAAGGTCATAGCACCAGGACCTTCACAGCAACATCAAGGGATGAGAAAGAAATGAAGAAAGAGAGAAATGAACATAAATTAGAGTCCCAGTAACTAAATTTTTCCTACCTAAGTATGGTTTTAAATCCAGGTCTTCCATATTTATCATCAGGGGGAAAGTATGTTCCACCCATCAAGGGTTTTAAATCAGGTGAAAGGAAGACAGACAATGGCCATCCTCCACCACCATACAAGGCCTGGACATATGTCATATAAACCTGGAAAGATGACATTATTTAGTCAGCACAAGAAATCACAAATTTAGTAAGATACTACTTACTAAATAGAGAGAACTGTTGTTTGTTCCTGACTTGTATGTGTCTGGATTTATAGGATAGAAACTAGATTTAAATGCAGGATTGCAGGTTCAACATGAAAAGTCAGTAAGCCCAGATATACAATCCTCAACAAATATCTCATGCTCAACATTCAGATAGCCACCTTTTGTCAAGAAAAATCCAGTTTAGCTAACCTCCATAACTAGCTCACAAGCACTCCCCTTCCTTACAAATCCTTAAATCATGACTAAATTCAAGTATTCAACAAAATGCAATAATAAGCAAAAGAAAAATGGACTGACTGCACAATAGAATGAAGCAATACCAATAAAATCATAAACTCATTTACCTTATCAACGTCTGGTCTTTCTTCTCGATCCACCTGTTGCACTGACATGTTAGAAAAGAATGGGAGATCGAATGCTTCAGAAGCACATTCAATTTTTGAGAAGGATATCATTTCCCAATCTAAAATGTAAAAAAACATTAGATACCCAAAAAGAAGCACAAAGTACAAAGAAGTTAACACCCACCTTGATACTAACAAACCAATCATTCAACAATTTTGCAACCCCCTCATTTTCAAAGGACTCCACCTCCATCACATGGCACCTAATTAATTGTTTATTGAAACCATTAGTAATTTTCCATTTAAATTTAAGTGGGATTTAGACAAGGAATAAGAGCTCCATTTCCTGAAATAGATAAAGAATTAAGATATCTCACCAGTGGCAGGTACTGTATCCAACTTCAACAAGAAAATCACAGAAAATTAATCAAGTATTAGTTTTTCAATCCAATCCAATGATTACTTAAAAAAGTACTAATTAGTTCTACAAAGAAGTAAGATTCTACTTGATAAGAAGATAGGGACGTCTCTTTTCCTTGCTTCTGCGAAAGCTTCTTCGCCCCATGGATACCAATCAACCTTCAAATAAGACAAAGCAGACAACACTAAAATCATAACCCTCGCTCGATTTTTACAAAATCAAGCATAATTTGAGCTACATAGAAAAATTCTCCGTCATTCCGGTGGACAGAAGATCTAATTAAAAACAAGAATAGAGAGAATTACCGGATTGTGAGCGTGTTGAAGGAGATACGGACTATGCTCGGCGGCGAGACGATTAGTGTACTTGTGAGAGTGCGACGTGGAGGGGGAAGCCCTTTCGGCCATGGACAGGATCCTGCGAGCGTGAACCAGTCGACGGAAAACAACGGAAGAAGGCCGAGAAGAGAAGGCGATGGAAGGATACGGATGAAGAAATCGGGTGAGAGAAGAGAATTTGGTGCTGTGATAGGGGAGCCGACGGAGAGAAGGGGAAGAAGAACGGAGTAGAAGGGTCCTGAGCATAGAATTGTGGAGAAAAAGAGGAACTGGGAGAGAATTGGGGATGGTATATATAGGGATGAGTTCGTGGGGGAGTAGGGAGGAGGTTAGGGGCGGGGAGGATCGGAGGGGCAGTTCCATGTGTGAAAGAGGTGCAGAGGGGGCGCACGTGACATGTGGAGTTCTTTAGACAGCATGATTGCTAGAGTGGATTGTGTGTTGACAGTTGACATGCGTGCGTGCGTGCGTGCGTGCTTTTCGGGTGATACTGGAAGGAAATGGATAAAGTAGTCGGACCCAGGAATTCGGTAACTTGGAGCCATCCCCCTTGATCATTCTTAGCTGCATAACTTTTTTTTTTTTTTTTTTAAGTACAAAACACGCTATAGTTTTAAAATTAATTAATTTAAAATTATATAAAATTTTATATATTTTACCATATTTACACACTCATTACCGATGTAAGATACTTTACTGCATAACTTGATTTACGCGAAGACATTTACATTTAATGGTTACAAAATTAATAAATGGTACTAAATTACTAAAAATTAGCTGCTATATAAACTGGGATGGTTGGCGCCAACAATAGATTTGTCCATTGATGAGTTATTTCTATTTCTTTTGAGGATTTCACCAATTTCATGCTACAGCGTACAAGTCCCAAATTATGCCGTGAAGGAAGGGGGAACTCAGGCAGCTGTCGCGGTTACGGACTCCGCAAGCTCTTCTAATAGTTCCTTCTGTTCCATGGCAGCACAAGCCTGTATGTACAAGGAACGAAGTTTCCAGCAGTGGTGGAAGTGGAATTATTTACTTATCAAGCTATAAATTCATATTAATTCGAGAAGAAACGGATATATCATATAATAATGGGAATAAAAAAGAAAGCTAGAAAAAAAAACCTGAACTGCAGTCTCTATGTCACCATCAAGGAAAGAAGTGAGCTCAAAGTTCATCTTCAGTCTATGATCAGTCACCCGATTATCCTAATTAAATGTAACAAAATGGCTGTGAGATTCAGTGGCTGGTCATTCTTACTACAAGGTATAACGTATAAAAGTTGAATAGTTCTCAATAACAATGCCAATTGACTGCTAGTGAAATGATATGCACGCAAGATTCTTATATATTCCACGAAACACCACTGCATTTCTCATCTTTTCATCCTGTGTTGATCTCATTTCAAATATTATTGTCTACAAGGTTGGAGGGTTAATATGTTGTGGGCATACCTTGTAATTATATGTCCTAATCTTTTCGGCACGGGCACCAGTACCAACCTGCATTTTGTAAGGCAATTCAATCCAATGCCTTGAAACACAAACAGAAAATATGTGGCTAGCATGCAAAATTGAAAAGGCAAGTTTGATATTGTCTGTCTACAAGTTCTACCAGAAGGTATCATTGATATAAATGCCTAAGCAATATGATTCCCAAACCCATGAGAGGATGACATGCAAAGTTAACCACTAGATTATCTCATGCAAGCAAATGATTCTTTCAATATTGTGAATTTAAAAGGGGAAAATTTGCAGTCAACATAAAACAAATTATGAAGTTGAGATGGAAAGAGAAAGCTTGCTTTTGCATGGCAAAGGATTATCATTGCCTGCAATGAATCTACAAGCTAAAATGTTACAAGCATGATTTAAGCAAATATCTACCTGTGACTTTCGTTGATTCCTTATCATCTCTTGCTGCTCCCTTAGCTTTATTTCATACCTATATATAAAATGGTCAGGATCATAAGGAATGTACCAAAAAGGAAGGTGAGAAAATACAAAATAAGCCAATTTTTGAGAGAGTAATAACTGTCCGGTTTGATTATACATCTCAGGATATTACTACTTTTAAACTGATGAATAATAAGCAGAAGCAAAGAAACCAAAATTCTTGGAGAGTTGAGACAATACAAAAGCTTCCCTTTTTTCTTCCAAATATCATGGGAATGACAAAAGCAAACACTACAAACATTGACAGAAGAGAAAAAGTGCAAGATGAATTTAATCCTCACAATTTTGCCCGTAGTAGTTGAAGAGCACGATTCTTGTTCTGTAGTTGGGTCCTCTCTTCAGTACAGAAGATGCGGATTCCTGTTGGTTTATGGAAGAGATCAACTGCTGTCTCCACCTTGTTGACATTCTGGCCTGCAAGATAACCAGCATGAAGAAGTGGGGTCAGAATTTTTCTTTTTCCCAACTCCCAACTGCCAACCAATTGGGAAGAAGGAATAAGACAGAGATTACCAAATTACTGCAATAAAAAACATTTCAGATATATCACTTTATACCTCCAGCACCACCAGACCTTGCAGTTGTCAGTTCAATGTCTTTTGGGTCAATTTCTACATCAACTTCATCGGCCTGAATTTCAAATACATTAAGAACAAAGCTATTGAAGGGCACATACGCACTCACAAGAGCTCTATCGGCATGGTCAATATATAGGAATTAGATGGAAAGGTATATACAGAAAACAATAGTTCTCCATCTAACTCTTCATCCCCACAAACAAATTTCTAATGAATCTTGAATGGATACATTTTCTGACAAAGAAATCCTAGTTAAAGCTAGCATTAGTACATGGCAGTGATTTTACCCAAGGACTTGACAAACTGCCATTAGATCCTTTTCATGCAGAATATGTGGTAGAGATGTGCATGGTTAAGGTTTAAAACTTACCTCAGGCATGATGGCTACAGTTGCAGTAGAAGTGTGTACACGTCCCTGTGCTTCTGTTTGAGGAACACGTTGAACTCGATGAACACCAGATTCATATTTCAACTTGCTGTAGACACGACTTCCTTTCACCTCCACCACATACGTTTTGAATCCTCCTTTCTCAGCCTTAAAAATACCAGACAATTCTGCCAGTCATATAAAGACCAATAGGACGCATAATGTTGCCATGGATGGAATATTAGCAAAGCAGTAGTGATAGAAATAAACCTTAATGAAGAATTTTTAGGAAAGCCATGTGGCATTTCATACCAAAAAGCAAGTACAATATCAACTTGCAATTCATGACTGGGCAAAATTAAGTGGCTGATTGGCAACAAGGGAACCAACATAGTTTTGGACATTTGGTATCACCAGCAAAGTTTAAGTACATTTGACATTGCCGTAATAAGACATACCTCAGAGCTTGAAACTGGGGAGTACTTCCAAGAATTCCGCTCACTGTATCTTTGATACATGCGAACCTAAACATTGAAAAGAGGATATTTAGTGTCTATGTACTTTGCTGATAGAAAAAAATTTCACCAAATTTGCAGGGTTTCATCCAAAGAAGCACAAGTGTGAGATGGTATTCTATCTCAGGATGCCCATACTTGAACTTCATTAGCTACATACATGGATATATTTATTGATTAATAAAAATAAATGAGGTTTTTAATTTGATATAACCATCAACCACAATGTTTACAATTTCAACGTAGCATCATCATGGAATGGTTGACATAATACCTCATGAAAAACAAACATGTTTAATGCACCAGTTTAATAATGCAAGGATGATTTGACAAGCAATTGATTTCTGAATCAGACAAGATTGCATAATTTTGTTAAGAAATGAGTATAATAGAAACAATTTCTTTCCAAAGTGGCCCAATGAAGCTCGTTAGAATTAAATAGAAGAATAATAGATCATAATTTCCAATCTCAAGGCCAGCAAACACCCAATTATCTTTTGAAAGTGTTTACTCCATTTGCTTTTTGTCAAACATAATGTCTAGTTTTAGGCTAGTTTTATAAGTCAGAATCAAGGCATGGTATGACTTGATTCCATAAATTTAAAAGGAGAAAAGAAACATGTACCTACAAGATCACCAGCCCATAATCCAGCCTCATCACCACCAGTCCCTGCCCTTACTGTAAAATAAGAGAAGAGCGTAGTTCATTTTAAGCCAAAAAGTGAAAGAAATAGCCATCAAATGGTCCCATAAAAACACCCGAACCATTAATGTATGCAAAGGTATATCTGTATGATAAAGAAGGAAGTATGAAAGGAATTTAGAGCAGTGTTTTTGTAGATGGAATAAGCCTTGTGATTGTATCTCATGCTAGGGGACATCAGATCAAGCATAATATGAAATTAGAAGTGTTTTTTTTTTTATCCTTTTGATTGGCATTATGAAATTTGGAGTAATATAAAATAAGTAGTTTCTGATAGTAAAGCACAAGTCCAAAGGCTGGTCAATGAAATGCATTATGCACCCTGAGAACCATGCTACTTATGAATCAGTAAAATGTGGAAAAGGGGAAAAGAAAGAAAAGAAAGAGGCAGAGAGTAGTTATATCTCTCTCAACATAGCTCTCTGCTGCTCATCTCTATTTCTAGCTGCTAATTCTCCATTTTTTCTCTTTGTTGTTCTGATTAATTCTCTCCTTTAACTCAATACATCCTGAAACTGTTAATTTATAATCAGGATATTCCTGAATTATTCAGCTGTATGAACTTAAATAACTGAGAAATCAAGAAGAATGAGCCAACCAATTTTCAAACAATAAATGATTAGAGAATCAAGATCAAGTAGTAAGTGAGCTTAATTGGAGGAAGATAATAATTACCTTCCAGCATTATATTTCTAGCATCCAGAGGATCACTTGGAAGTAACAGCGCCTGTCAAATAGAGTATGCCAGATAGCAATTTGAGCAACTAATAAAGTGAAATCATTTCTTAAAACAGAAAAGGGAAATAGCAAACATAATCAAACAACATATTCAATAAAGTTATTATTCCTTAAGCTTCTATCTAGTTGCTATTCCTTATTTGCAAAAAAAATCTATACAGATGCAGTCAAAGACACAAAGCAAAAACCTTAAGCTTCTCCTCTAGCTCTTGTAGTTGGCTAGATAAAGAGTTGATTTCAGATTGTATCATCTCAGCCATATCTTCATCATTGCCATCCTCTTTTGCTAAAGCTGACAGAAAAGAACACTGAATGTTAGGTCAAAGGTGCTTCGATTTCCTTTTTCCTTTTCTAAATAAGCAAAGCAGTGGAAGAAAACCTTTGGTCTCTTCTAGCTGCTTCTCATAGTCCTTAAATCTCCTATATGTCGACACAACCTATCAGATAAAAGAGAAAAACATGAAATTCATACAGTGAAAGTATAATTAGACATTAAAGATATGATTTCCAGTATTAAGAACAGAAGAAGCAAAACGAATTTGAGTACCTCATCAAGTTCTGCTACAGATTGTGCCAACTTTTGATACTCACTAGGATTGGATACAACATCTGGATCAGCAAGCCTGACCTATAAATTTTTGTTGCTTTCAGAAACTCAAATCTTAAACAACTGATGCATTGCCACTTCAACAACTTCGAATAATCAAAATGAAAACTGTAAATTCACGAATCATTCAATATACTAAAGAGCTCGATAAGAAGGTTACCGATAATTCCTTCCATGTCTTCTCCGCAGATTCCAGTTTCGTTATCAGATATGGCTCCTGCAAATTAATACATAAGAGAACAAACAGCAGCGAAATTAATTCGCCAGATGTCGACTGAGTTTCAACTTCAAGAGGAAAAGATTCAAGTTAAAATTAATTGAACTCACCGCCATGCAAGTAATTCTCGGAGCTCTGAATGCCAGCCAAGGTCTGGCGACTAAGCAACTCCTCCGTGACCGGCGGTTGAAACCGTTTCGCGCCGGGAATTGGTTAAAGCTGAGCAAGATTCGAGCAGTGCAGTTCGTTGTTACGCTGTTCATTGTTGTAGAAATGGCGAATTTCATGCGGAAAAACAGATTATCATAAAAAAAA